GGGGGGGGGGGATGATCTTGCTGTGAACAAGGATATCACACACTGGATCCTACCCTGACTAATCCTCTTTTCGGATTCTAATAATGACTGCAATTTACAAAAGTGAGCTTCATGTTTTATTCAGTATTACCTGAAACTAGTGATTGAAACCATGAAGCCATAAACAAAGTGTACTGAGGTCATAGGGCAAGCAAGTTGAGGGCCGGTTTCCCATAAACTTCAATTTTTTTTGCAACCAGAGTTGGCCACACTGGTTTCACTTTTCAGTCCTGGAAGCTGTGTCCATCTTTTATACTATGTTCTGGCCAGAGTAACACTACTAGATGGTGAATAATCAGATATTACATATACTGTGGAGACTTCTTCTAATGAGATTGAGGTGCTAAAGGGGGCTTTTGTTTTCATTTTGAGGGTTCAAAATGTCGTTCTGCTCTGGTTGAGATCTTCTTACTCCCAAAATTTAAAGCCTATTTCAAGTTTTTTTGTTTTGTTTTTTTCATTTTCTGTTTAAAAAAAAAAAACGCAAAAAAGAAGAAAAATAAACCCTACAGATCAAAAGTTAGTTTAAGTCCTTTTTTAAAAAAAGTTTTCATTGACTGAATGGATGATCTGTTTTTATTAGGTATGATAAATATGATTTACCCCGCAGTCAATGCAGTGAAGTTTTTGAATCAAACAGTGGTTCTTGTGCGTATTATTTCTGACAACACACCGGTGTGATGAAGCGGGATAATTCTGTCGGGTTGGAACATTTCTTTCATTGCTTCTTCTCTCATGGTCCCAACACAAGCACATAGGAAGATGAAGGGAATCTAAACTGGGTAAAAAAAAAATGCTAGATCAGTTGTTCATGTACAACAACAAAAGCAGGAGGTAGGAAATGAGAGAATTATTGCCAATGTGCTTTTCAGGAGCAGCACCTGCAGTGAATTGTCTTTCCTCCTCTATGTTGGTTCCATCCAACAATGACTGTTTCTGCTCTCCCTTGATGAATTTGTACCAAGTGCATTTACTACCACCATCCATTCTTAACATTTGTATGAATTTATTTGATAAGTTTTGAAATTAAATGTGACCCTGACATTGAACTTGTGAATCTAGCTTTGTTTACCAACTTTGTAACAATTGGCAATTGGAGCTGCAAGTGTCCTAGATTTTATGTTAGGCATTTTGATTGCTTAATAAGAGGCCAGAAAATATTAAGAAAATGGGGTTTAACATCTGAAAAGTTATATGTGCTTTCTTTTACTATGCACTGTATATCAGTTGGCTGAATTGCATGGAAAGTTACAGAGATAAGAGCAGGAGAACAAAAAGCCTGCGCTATTGGCCCTCGTGGAGAATGGTCTGAAAAAGAGAAGTGAGCAGCAGTTCTCTGGATGAAAATGCCTTGTCAATGTCAGAGTAGCCAGGCTGCTTTGTTACACTGGTAACAGGAAAAATGTGTAACACACTGAATCTTGCTGCAGCAGTAGAAGATCATATATCAGCTAAGAACAGAAAACAGGCTACTGTTTGCACAGGTTTAAAAAATTGGACAAACTTTGCCGCAATAATTAGGGCAGTTATGAAAACAAAAGGGGGTCCAACCTAGTACTTAAAAGGTCCAACTACTGAAGTGGGTAGGTTTTTATATATACACATTCAAGTCTAGACTGCAGGTTGTTTCTAAAAAATATATTTTTTATTAAACAGCATACACAATAACAACATTACAAATAAACTGGTGCATTATGGTTGATTGAAGTGAAGACTCTTGATTGGTTTGCAGATAAATACAGCACTCGTAGAAAGCAGCGCACTGTTCTCTTGGCCCCTGTATGAACATGTGATTGGTCATCTTGACAACTTGCACAGCTCTCTTAACTGCCAACGACGTACCAGCTTCCTTGTGGGAGTGCTAACAGTGGAAAACAATCTGTGCACTGGATCCAACTAATACTGCCTTTACCTCAGCGTAGAGTCCTCCCAAATCTGTACTCACTGATTCATCACGTCATGGCCAGTTACTGTTAACTGTTGCTAGAAGGAAATCAGCCAGTGTCTGAATCCAAATCCAGCACTCCAAACATATTGACTAGTTTCAAAGTAGCAAAATGGGTTTCAGAAACTGTGAAGCAAGATTTTGTGCCATTACTGACGAGCATAGTGTTGCATATATTCTGCTTATTTTCTTAATTGTCCTTCAATTTTAGAAAACCGAGGAAAAAAATACAACTGTACACCCTTTTATTTGAAAAGTACAAAATGTCTAAATATCCTCTTTACCTTGGCATGTGACAAAAGAAATATTCAAATCTTCACAATTTTGCTTAAAAATGTCAAATTATGACAAAAATAATGAATACCTGTTTGGATTGATTTGTTGTCCAACAGCTAGACATTTCTAAAAAGTAGTGTACAGACTGAAAAAACATTTTTATTCCACTTTTTCAACCAATGGTCTACAAATGTAGCAGTTATACAGCACATTTTAAGTAGTAGTGCTTTGAAGCCATACTCAGTCATGCATTCACACACCAGTGCAGGTGGAGCTGCCAAGTAAGGTGCTGCCTTGCCATCAAGAAGAAACGGGTTCATCGTTCTGCTCACTAAACACACTTTGGCATGTGGTGGGGTTGTGGCCGCACCACCAAACCTGCAATTAGGGGCAACCTACTCTTCTCCTGAACCCACGATCCCCACAGTATAATTAAAGTCTGTCTACAAATGAAAAGCAGAGGTTTCGGTACCGCTGGCAGGATATCGCTTGATATACAGAAGCACACAGCCCCTTGTGCTTTAGCTCAATTAACATTTTCTGAACTTAGTCCAATACAGAAAGTAGCTATCAGACCTTTAAATACTCCAGTGGTCTGTTAAGAGTAATGAGTGTCATTTAAAAACAAAGATGCTCTTTTTGCTACACAGAAAAGAACTCAGAAGATGGAAGAGCCCATAATTTTTGTCTTTAGAAAGAAAAGAGAAAAGATTTGCATTACAAAATATGCAGCAGTGTAAAGGAAGCCATGTGTTTGATTGCCAGAGTAAATAGATAAGATATAAGGGAGAATATTGCATTTTGAGGGGAAGTCATTTCTTGATCACTTCCTCTTTCAGCTTGTCGGCAAGGTGCTTTCTCTTCTCCAGCCTCTTTCTTTCCTCAGCAGATATCTCCTGTGAGAAGAGACCAGACCAGGAAGCAGTCAATACTCACCAGCAAAATAGGGAAAGTGGAAAAAGCAGCGAGAAAGGCGACTAAAATACAACCAAGCACATGTGTCTACATACAGTACACAAGCAAGAAAACTAAACACAGGCAGCTAGTACTGGAAACATTGGCATAGTAACTTTGAGGTAAACAAGGTGCTGTCAGAGAATCGCATCTAATAAGGAATAGGAACCGAGTCAAGATCGATGATTTCAGTCAACACAAATCAAGATCTGATTCTCTTCAGTTTGTGGCAATAAAATTATTAATTTAGGGGGGAAAAAGATGCAGACCTTTAGTTGGTGATAATGAAGGGAATGATTACTACAAAGCAAAAGCAGATGAACACAAGACATGAACAAGTACAGTTGTTAACATCAGAGGCAGCTGATGGATCACCTTCTGACTGGAGGAGTGCTGTGCTGGAGAAGCACAGTGAGGAGTAGGTGGAGGAGGAGGAGAAGGAGGATGAGGAGGGGAACAGGCCCCATTTCTCTGGGACTGACCCACTGCCTCCTAACAGGCCAGTCCAGAGCAGACACAAGTGGAAGTGGGTGGAAATGAAGAACAAGAAAAAGAAGCAAATAAAACAAGTTGGAAGGGGAAAAAAAACAAGAAGACAAAAAAATTTAATGTAGGTTTAAGAAAATCAGGCGAAATTTGGATAACTGGTCCTGGGTGAGGCATAATTCATAACCAGCGTCAAACTTAAATTTCTAATCTCTAAAGATAACTTTGAAGAACTTTAATAAGCCACTATGAGTATTAATGCATGAATGTGTGTCTAATCAAAAACAATGTATTCACTTCAACACAACTACTGCAAATCCCTGTTTCAACAGATAGAATTTGTGCCAAACTGCCTGCAGCAGCAGTTGGTTTATGAAGTGAGGTATGGAGAAGGAGGCGAGGACCTGCATTTACCGGGGTAGTGCTGGGTGCTGGTGTGGGACTGCTGGGTGCCTCCTCCGGCAAGGACGATTGCTTGGTTTTCTGCTGCTCTTTTCGGAGCGCGTGCAGCTTGTCCCTCTGCTGACGCAGATATGCCGCCCTCTGCTGGAGCTGCTCCTGCTGTGATACTGATAACTCCTGCAGAGAAACGCAGGTGAAGCTCAATTATTATATTTCAACAGCAATTACAGCTGCTCTCCTATCTCCCAAACTGCTTCCACAGTACATCTGCACATTTGATTTGGCACAGACTTTTACACCTCCTGACACAATCCTCACATTTATCCAGGCTTGGGACTGTTACTAGTCATTCTAGCATGCGGAGCTTTAGTCTCCTCCCAGTTTCAAACTGGCAATCTCTCACACATGAGGCATAAAGGCATGTAAACTTGTTATTGTCAAGTCTCTACATTTCTTTCAATCTCTTAGTTACACCCACTGCATGTTTGTTGAGTCCTTTTTAAAAACACCAAAATCAAAACATGTAATCTGCAACATTAGTAATACTACTGATGCTGCTCGTTTACATGACTTCCAGCATTAAAAATGTATCTCATCTGACTATGTGGGTTGGCTGTAGCTCAGGAGATAACGCAGGTCACCTACTAATCTGAAGATTGGTGGTCACATTCACAACAAGACCTTACAAAGCATTGGTGAAATCACCGACAACACCTGTCTGTCTTTTATATACAGTCTATGCATTGGTGTTCCTCCCTTAAATTAATGCAGGTCATAATTTGTATTGTATTATGATTATCTGTATCTGTATCTATTGTACATATTTATGTTAGGTAGGGAAGTAAAAAAATATCTGTATTTTATTTTGTTTTCTTTCAGTAATAGGTAATTCAGTTGTTTAAAACTAAATAATTGTTGTCTACCTAAAAGGAAATATTAAACCCTTCTGTTTAGAGTGCAATTGTGCTTTGGCACTGATCTTTCCTTCAGAGTGAGGATGAGGCAAATCGCTTTTTATGTTATGCGCAGATTTCCTGTAATCTATGGGGTACGTCAGCAGTCTCACAGACTCACAGTATATGGCTTAGAGAAGCCAGCCTCCCTATGTGCTTCCTCCAGCCACGCCTCGCTTGTAGTCTGGCTGCTGCTGCTCTGCTGCCCGGCATGAGGACTTCTGCTGATGGAGGGCTCACCAGACTTCACAGGAGCTCTCACAGCTGGCAGAACTCGGGATCCCACAGCATCACTACCACGATCTGTGGGCACATACACAAATGACTTTGATGAGCTGCCACTCTCGTGTTGGTTGTGTGTTTAAAATAAAACAAAAGATTAAAAAGCTTCACATGTTATCTGCAACATTAGTAATACTACTGATGCTGCTCGTTTACATGATTTCCAGTAATAAAAATGTTTCTCATCTGACTATGTGGGTTGTCTGTAGCTCAGGAGATCAAGAATAATGTGGTATAGTGGGGTAATTTTATATAACAAGAGGAAAGAAAGAGTTCAGTTGGTCGCAAAGTGTTTGTCTTCTCTTCTAACTTACCTGTTGTGGGTTTAGAGGAGCTACTCCTCTCAGCACCACCTCCTGTAGCAGCTGTCTTGCTCCCTTCTTTTCTAACTGGGTTACTGTTGACCTACAGGTGGGGATATGGGTGATGGAAAGAATGAATGAACATTTAAACTGTCTCCAAATAATGTGCAAAATCCACAAAGCACAAACACTTCAAAGCTGCTTAATGATCCAATAATTAGGCTGGTATTTATATCTGTTAAGAGCAGAGGTCTACTAGGCATTTTCGTTTTACCAGCATTTTCTCTCTGTTAGCTATCACAGACACAGCTGGACGGGCATTACTGTATTTCTAGTTAGTAAACTGCAGTGTACTTATTAATACATCCCTGATTAAAATCTTACTGCATGGATGGTTCAACTTTATACTGTGTTTTTCCAGTTACCAGTGTGGTGTGCTGATCATTAACCCATGCTTTCACCTTGGTGAAATTTAAATAGCACATTAATAAAAAAGTGATTTCAAGGTTAAAGGGGACTTCACAATAAGAATTGAGCTCAGGCACTCAATGGAAAAGTAGTTAGTGAGATTATGTGAGATAAAGTCCAACAAAAGGTAACACTGGCATGCACAAGAAGCCTCACTAAGATGCACCATTTGGCTGGTTCACAGGTCTTATTTAACTCATAGTGCTCATGATGCCTCACCTTGGCAGGGCTGATGTGTTGGCTGAGGGCGGAGGAGGTATTCTTGGCTTCATCACACTCTGCCATTAGCTTACTAGAGCAGCCACTGGAGGTGGAACCAACCTCTTTCTCTAATAGCAGCCTCCTGGACATTTCCTCATCATACTCCTCTTTTGACTTTCTACACAGGAATAAGCAGGAGAGAAAAAAAAGAAAGAAAGAGTTCAACATAAGCCTAGGACCAACTAACTGTTTAAACTTCACTATTTCAGCCCTGTTGCAAAGCCTTTGGTCAAGAGCCCTCTCGAAGGGGTTCACAGTATGTTCAGTAGTTCTGGTGTGATAAGAGCATTGACAATTTAGAGGTAAGCCTGTTCTATTGTCCAGTTAGCCCTTGGCTGACAGCACCAGTAGAAACTAGAAAAAGACAGCCACGTCAGGGATTTCCATGTGGTAACCCCGTTTTGCCCCAACCAGCTCCCAGGCATCACCCGGGAATCACAGTCAGATCCTTTAATTTGATTTATTTAATAGCCTAAATTGTCTCAGTGGAGACTGCTGCAAAGCATTTACAAGTAGGTGTATGGAAACACAGAGATACTGTGACTGGAACTGTGCCTAGTCATAAATCCTGTGAGGATTTTTATAGGTTGATTTTGACAGAACATAGATACATTTGAACTGTTGAGGATAAAACAATTAAACATAAACTTGCAGAATTAATACTAGTTTAAGACCCGTCATCAAAATAAGCGTCAGCTTCAGTGATGCAGTTCCAATCAGAAATTACGTAAAACAATTCCTTTATGATGCCACTTATATAGAAGAAACTATTGATAACCTGGAGAGGAGTAGGGGCAGCATAGTGGACCGCTGATAAGGTTCCCTGGTATGACAAAAGGGATGAAACCATCGTTTTTCTCAGCTGCTTGTTTAGTGTCAATCCCTCCAACCTAAATTAGCTGGATCCTAAGGAGCTTAACTGTGGTCCCATTAGACTCGGTGTGTTCTACTTGGCCAGGCACTCAATAGCAAAATCCCATTAGAGAAGAGTGATAGGAGCTTCGGGAAGCCTTCAGGAAGTGCAATGGATGCATAAAGAAAATGTGGAAATTTCTTAATGGTATAGTGAGGAACAAAAGCCTCATATCTACTATAAAATTAACTGAATTACCTGAAAAATAAAATTAGTAAACACCTACTGACTAATGTAAATGTGAAATTTCAGCCTAAATACAAAGAAAAAGAATCTATTCAGTTAGGAATAATTGAGAAAAAAAATGGGGATTTAACTTCCTGTCAGAGTTGTTAAGCAAATACATTCCTAATTAATGTTAACTTGGAATACAAATAAATAGAGCAGCACTTTTTTATTCTGTTGTAGAAATGATCAAAAACTGTTTCCATGAAATTCCCGTCAGAGACTGTTCAAAATCTGGCTCATAGGACTTCTAAAATATCCTTTCAACAGATGTGCCATAAAAACACGAAGAGCCACAGCATTTAAAAAAAAAACATTAGAGTGCTCTTAAGGTGGCACAGTGAACTGTGAGGATGTTTCTAAGAAAGGGTGAATGAGATGTCAGGTTCAACAGAACTAGTGATGGTCCACAGTCAGTAAAAAACTATGTGGGGAAAGATAGTTGAGCAGGTACTGGCTCGTTTTGGCATTCACTGATTGATTCACCTGTGAAACAAACTAACTGAACCAGACACTCAATAAAGATTTTCTTACAGTCACATATTGAAATATCAACAATCCTAAATCTTCAAATCGGCCATTCGAATAGCTTTACACAACAACTAAAAGTTTATTTTTGGGACACCAGTAAATGTTATGTCAAACACTGAAGGAGTCAGATACCGCAAGAATGACAGAGCGACTTACTTAAGAACCTCCTGCAGGATTTTCATCTCTTGCTGTTGCAACTCTGTCATGACGTCCACACCATCAGTCAGACACTCTGGGAGGGCCCCTACACACACGAAGACATTTAACCTACAGCTGAGCATTTGGCTCTGCAAGTTTGTGTTTGGATTTGCTTTACATGTTAATCCAGCCTACCGTTCCTTTCTTTAATGACCCTGAGGGCTTGGAGCTGCAGCTCCATATTCTTGTGAACCATCAATGAGCGAAAGATCTGGAAGTCATCTGTAGCCAGAACTGGCTGGAATACTGCCTGAAGAACAAAAAAACCAACATCAGTGACGTAGTCCGTTCACAGGTTGTAGTAATGTGTGAAATAGTTGTTGTTTTCATTGACTGGCTTTATTGAACAAACTACTGAGAATTATTATGTATTGAGAAGACAATGAGGCAATGTCAATGTCATATCCAAGACGAATTTAAACTCTGAACAATGCAGGAGGAGAAGCAATTCTTGTGAAAATGAAAATTTTCCATAAAACAACCAATATCACCCTGACCTTAAACATAATTTGGGTGAAGGCTCATCAGGTGATCACTTTGTGCAAGTTTAGTTTATTAAATACTGCCATGGAAGAGTAGCGTGTCCTGTTGATCATGGACAAACCTTACTGGGCCTTCAGTCCAATAAAAACTATGTAAAAAGTTTGTGTTCATATCACATGATAATGAAGACTGAGTGTGTGCTTATAGAAGAGACACGAGTGTAAAATTCAAATTATATTCTGCATCAAAATCTATTCAATTAGACTTTTTTTTTTCTTCACAATTCCAATGTCGTCCAACTGATCACTGCCAGTGGTAATCCATGAACATGGTCTATATTTTTGGACATTTTTGCTTTAGTTCTGGCAACTCATCAGTTTCACCAAAACAGTTTCAGTCTCTCATAAACACACACAAAAAAAACTATATTGTGAAGTATTTGACTCAATAACTAAACACAGAGGAAGACTGAAAACACAGTGACTCCTAATGAAGTGCAGCTTGAAGATGATTTCTTTTGATAAGTCTGCTTTGTGTAATAAACATTCAGACACAGTATAACACTTCATGGTGCTAAGGTTGTAGTATTTACAGAGGACTTACATTAATCTAAACTAATGTGATAAAATGGAAACAACCGTTTAACCCTTCCTTAATTGATGGCTCAATTCAGAACTAAAAAATGTGTTTTCTGAGGAAAAAGCTCAGTTTGACTATGTTTACAGCAACAGATAAAAAAAGCAGAAACAAAAGACAAACATCTCAAACTAATTAGGTTATTTGGCAACAGGATAAGTAACAGAATGAGTATAAAAACAGTGCATTAGTGATACCAAATCTTTTAGAAGTAATGACTGCAGAGATTCTGCAGTCTGTATAAAAGGGCTAGAGCAAATGTTCAGAAATACATTTGCAAAGAGTTTTCATCATTTTGATATTTAAAACGGCTAAAGATTCAGAAAATCTGGAAAATGACCATGATTTCAGGATTTCAGGAGGGAATATCAGCATGGGATCAGGAATAATTCCAAAACAAACACTGTCAGATCACAACTTGCATTGATAAATGCAGCTTAAAATTATCATGCAAAGACAAAATGTACCTACACAAATCCAGAAACACTTATCTGGATGCTAAGCTCATTTAAGGTAAACTAGGGGACAATAAAAAAAAACAAAAAAACAAAAACACTGCCCTCTGGGTTTTGAAGTTCATTTTGGAATTTATAGATGTATAGATGTATGTATAGATGCTATGCCTTCAGCCAAAAGAGAAAGAATCATTTAACTTAGTGCACAGTTCAATCGCCAGTATCCATGGTGGTGTAGGGGTGAATGAGTTTGCATCTGTAAAAGCACAATATATATACAGGCTTTGCTTATTTCAGTAAGACAATGTCAACCAAACTCAGCATCTGAAAAGTAGTAAGTACCTGACATGTCAAGACCTGTCAGCTATTGAAAACATCTGATGAACTATGCAGCAAAAAACACAGCAAAGACGGCCTTAGACAGCTGGAATGTTGTATAACGCAAGACTGTGAATGTTTCAACTTAAATGGAAACCCCTCCAAACTCATTTTTTAAAAACGTGTTGTTGGCATCAAGCAGTGGGCTTGATGCCAGCAACACTGGGCTTATGTAAGCAAATCCTATCCCCGATTCTCAATTCAGGTTAGCTGGCAGGATGACAGTGGTGTGCAAGCAGGAAGCTTAGAGTACCTCCAGAGCTTTAGACTTGGCAAAGGGAGAAGTACACGCATCCAAAAACTGCTGCTCGTTGATGCCAACCTCCTGCATGTAATTCTCCAACAGCTTCTCCACCTACGAAAGCAAAGCAGCTCACACCAGTCCATTCTGACGAGTCAGCAATATGAAACTACTACTGACTGATGCTGATGAGGCAATGCACGACATTAGCCAGATTGTAGTAATCACAATTGAACTCACCAATTTCTTATACTGCTCGTGGATTTCTGTGTATGCCAACTTATTCTCATCTTCGTCGTCAAAAACTGAAATATTGAAAACACACAGTTGACAGAAATGAATTGTGTCCACGGAAATATTTTATAGACTTAGCTAGATGCACTGACTTTAGCACGCAGAAAAGTTAAACATGTAAAACCTGTTTATAGGTCCGCTTATATGCAGATGTTTGTTGTATTTGGTGTCGTTGTTTACGCTCGTATCATATGTAAATGTACAGGAGGAGAAAGTCTAGTACTAAACTTGAGTGGATAGACTATCAGACAGCATCGCTGTTACACGTTAGCGTTAGCTTAGCCGCAGCGCTAACGGTGCACAGCTCCAGAGAGGCTCAGTCTCAGACTAAAATCACCTCATAACCCGTTTTTACCTGTGCATTTGTTTTCCAAAAAGTCCGTTACAGGAACGACCCATTCGGGACTTCCAAGGTAGCCAACGATGCTTTCTAAAACCCATTCACTGTCGTCCTCAGCCATGTTGGTCGTAGCTGGCGGGCGTAAGCAGCAGCAACAACAACAAAGGCAGCAGCGGCAGCCCTGACACAGTGTTGTTCTTCAGGTCGGCGCGTGCAGCACAGCTCACACAGATGGGAAAACACATCTGGTTTATCGTCCCTCATTAACTAGTCCGCATGAGTCTCGGAGGCTGCTTTTTCCGTTCTGGACAAGGTGAGAAATGCGCAGTCATGAATTTGAGAATGGTGAGTGGTGACGCCTAATTGGTTGCTAAGGTAACCATTACGTCAGTCAGCTGCTCCTTCTGCCTGGACGAAGCAGAGCCCTCCACTGGCACCGAGACGGAGAAGCCGCTAAAGTAAGCATTAAAAACTCCCCACAGTCCCAAACCTGCAGTTGCTGGAAATATCACAAAAACAAGATAAAACAAAAGTTAATTCTGCATCGTTCGCTCATTGTATATAGATTACTGAGTCTTTTGTTTGTACTTTTTGTTACCATTTAGCGTGTGCTATCTCAAAAAGCAATGTATGGTGAACCAAACGTTTTCAGATTCTACTCCCTTTATTTGTTGTTTTTATGCTTCACATAAAAATGAAATTACATATAGTAGAAATATAAGTTAAAATGAAATAAATAGTATGAGTGTTAAATATTTAAAAATATTACTATGCAGAAATCTCGAGTAACCCCTCATTTCTTTATATTATGCTGGGAATCAGCCTTTACTATTCTCTTTTTTTGAAGGTCTGATGATGGAATTAATTTGTCCTCCTGTTCTCTTGCACATTTTGCCAACTTATGTCATGTTTTCAGCCACTAGCAGTTTGGGAAATACATTGATCATCCAAAAAATACTCTTTTGTGTTGATCAAACTATGTTATCTTTGGGAATTTTCATAGATTTAAAGAAATGGGAACAAATGATGAACCTTTGCAACAGGCTAGTGGTAACAAAACAACTTAAATTGGTTCTTTGTATGTTGTCTGTCTACAACAGAGGTTTAAGTGGCTTAAGAAACAACAACAACAATGACAAAAATGTTCCTTTGAAAATAATCGGGTACAAGGATTTGAAACGAGTGAGAAAAAAAAGCCAGTGCAAAAAGAAGAACTATGACTCAAGACCACTTTAACAATTAGACGAATGTCTGGCTCCTTGGAAGCAAAATATAAAGAAATGAGAGTTGACTCAAGACTTTTGCACATTACTGTACGTAGATTATGTTTTAAGTTGGCCGTGGTACTAATTTTAATCTCACATTAGCTTCATCCTGTGGCAAATCTAATTATTATGGTATAATGGTAAATATGATTGCAATTATTAAATATGATTATGATGATTATTGTTATTCGCCATCCTGTGGTAAGGCTCCTTTGATTGTCCATTCTGGTTACACAGGGCCTTGTCTGTGTAACCTGAATGTGCAGCGATGTACTAAGGATTAACTTCTGAGGTAAACCACTTTACTTAACGAAAGCCAGATCACTAAACAGACACACATACACACACAAACGCACAGAGAAACATAAGCTAAGATGCTTATTTTTTATTAATAGTAAAAATCGAGTGATCACATAATTTAGTAGTGCGCATTGACAAGGATATTCAATAAATATACATTCCTTCTGTATCTTTAAAGGTACAAGATTTCATTATTAGCATCATCTCAAGAAAGGCTCATAGCTACTGTGCACAGCTCATAAAGGCAAGGCATGCAAGCAGCAGTCATGCCGAAAAAACATACTAAAGGTAGGCAACATTTAAAAAGCTTTACAGGCAGTATTTGAAATGTATCTCTCGGTAATAGTGCTTTGTTTTGCTAAAATAAGCAGTTCTGCCCTTCTGTGTACAAGAAAAATATGATCTGTTACAGAGTTTTCACTAAAAAATGAACATTTCGCTGGAGCAATGGACAGGCAGACAACACACAATTCAGAAACATTCCAGTTTGTTTTTTTGTTTTTTTTAAATTTTGCTCTGACTCTATAAGTTGCATGTAGCAGATTTTAAACCACTTAAATCTTGGCATCTGTGTACTCTGTACTGTGTACAGAGCTGAAATAATCCCCACTGTAACTGGAAAAAGATTTGTTTTCCAAAACAGAATAGTTACAAAACACAAAAACCATAAAAAACCTGGGCAGAATGCAGTACCAGCGTTACCGCCCTCCCCATATGACAATCATAGATTATAGCAGCGTATAGTAGTGAATCTGACTCCAGGTCAGCTGGCAGATAAGCATTACAGTGTGGTGACACAGTGCTTTACACATAGATATTATTATTGTCATAATCTCAAAGTCTACTCACTTGGTATGGAGAAGTTATGCTACAAATAAAAAACGACTGTATTTGTCATTTAAGGATACTTTTATGAAGTAATTATTATAGATAGATACGTGGCTGTGTCTTGCACAGAAAGGTATAGGTTCTTAGGGTACATATAAGTAGTAAAAAAAATTTCTTTGCTTTTCAGAATGAAATAAATTTTTTAATGGTATTACTATTGTTTATAGTTTATACATTCTGGTGTGAAAGAATCGCTCTCAGGATAGAGTCAGTTAAGTGTTATCTGATAAAACACACACATGCTCATGGAACTGCCTGTTATGCATGTTACACGTGCATAAAATCAGCAGATGTGAACCAACATGTTGCTTGATCAAGGCTGAATTTTTCATTTAACATTTAATAGCAACTTTTAAGTGAAAGCAAGTAACTTGCCTCGTGACATCCACTAGATGGCAACAGCTACCCAAGTTTCAACTGACTCGATATTGGCCAACAAACATTTGAAATCCCAAGCCCCTGAAATGAAGAAAACTGGACTTCCTTTTGATCCATGTGCCAATTTAAAAAGATCCAGCTGCCTTCACGTAACATGCTTAGGACTACCACGGCGTGGATGACTGAGAACCTCGACAGAGATTCGTTTTTCAAATGGTACACAGCCTGAAAAATTACCAAACCCGAGATATTGTTTTAGGGATGGAACTAACGTTTTGTTTTCATTGCTGATTAAATTGCTAATATCTTTATTAGTTGGATCAAGAAACGTCACCTCATATATTAATGATAGAAAATTACTGTTTATGTAATTAATACATTATCAGAAGACTTGTCAATTAATTCTCTCCTGAAATCAGACGTAACACTGATGACGCATGTGGCGCTGTCATGTTAAACACTCCATAGCAACACATATATACATTTTAGACACAGACATCCCTACGATTTTCTCTCTGGTGGTGTTTTTGACTTTACTCAGTTAATGGCTTTGAAAGTTGAAAAAAAACCCTTCTGTATTATTATAAATCCCACAAGAATCATTTCTAAAGGTTACACTTGTAGCAAAGAGTGTGTAAACATGCAATCATTCGAAATGCAAATAAATGTTGCTTCAAGCTTTCAGTCAAGTATAAACTAAAGATGCTAGATTTGTAGCTCTATCTCCACAAGATAAAGGGAATATATATTCTGTCACAGGCATGACATTACAGGCCAACATGTCCTTGAGGTTAAAATACAGCAACTGCCTCTGTCAAGCTCTGTTAAAAATTCATTGTATTGATTTGGTTGACAGCAGAGACCCTCTGGCCCCTTTCGTCTTAACGCTACTCCAGTATGTGTTCAATAAGTCACAATGCTGGGTTTGAAAGGATACTACAGATATCCATGCAATCCACCTCTAATCCCAGGATTTGTTTATGGTTATCAATAATGATCTTTTAAGACCCTTCTGGATCATTAGCTCCCCCTCCTTCCACCATAAAAAACCACAGCTTGCTTTATTGAAAGTAGTGGCTGATGGAGGATGCTAAGCCATCAAATGCATCATCTAATTCAGTCATACAGTGGAACAATGCACCCATATTCATACTTCTGGAAATGGAAATAAAACATGGTGGACATGGTTTGAGCAATCCCTTAAAAGGCCCACTTCATCAGCTTTTTTTTCTAAAACAACTAATGCTTACAATTAGAGATCAATACATTACTTGGCTCAGCCACATGAAGCTGTTTGTTTCCAGGAAGCCGATTAAACTTTTATTTCAGTCTCTGCTTAATTGTTGTTTTTAAGAATTTTGCAATTTAAATAATGTTCTGGTGTGAGTGAATACTATGGGAAAAGCATAAACCTGTTTACTTTAGGCTAACATATTCAAGACCATTGAGAGCACAGAGGCAGTTAGAGATCTGCAACAGCTTAAGGTGTGTGGTAACCTGTGTGTGGTGAATTCTGAATGCCAGATGTAGCGACTGTAGCTACATATGCTAACATGCCTCCTGCCTCTTCACATGCAGCTGTTATCCCTCCTTTTAAAGGGTGATTAATTATGAATGTTAGCTTAAGTGACATACAATATTTAGGCAATCAGTACAATTTATTTCCTTTCCTGGGAGATCTAAACAAGGACAAAAAAATAATATATAAGTTGTAAGGTTGTAAAATATTATTAGCCTATTAATCAGAATTCTAAACCAAAATGATTTGGTTTCATTTGTAAAGAATCAAAAGTGCCAGCCTGCTGTGGAGCATTTACTTTCCTTCCTGAGTTCTTCCTTTTATCAAGTCCTGCAAACCAGATACCTAAATTTGAAAAGTGTCTTTCTATAAAATCACAATAATAAACTGCTACAAAGACCCAGTGTTGGAAGTCCATTGCCACTGGAGGAAAGAAGTTCTTCAAACATGATTTTTGTGGTCACACAAATCCATTGGCGATCTCTCTGCCACCACTGCTCTCAGCGGACTGACTGGGTACTTCCATTGGATTGTCGGCGTTACCTTTTATTTCTACCTGTTTTTGGTCAAAGCGACTCATTTTCATTTGACTCCTCTCTTGGTAGTTGTCCATAACTGGCACTAACCCACTAGCAGTGCCTTGTCGAGTAAGTTTGCTCAGTCTGTCGTTACGGTGCCTTGTTTCGTCCGGTGTCTGTCCAACAACTTTGTGATGATTTCTTGGTAGTATAGATCCTTTATTATGCTGCCCTTTCTGAATAGGCAGTGGTCCATCGCGTAGCTGGCTGGCTTTGAGTAACACCATTGGTTTGATCTGGTGCTTGTTGCAAACCAGGAATTTATTAGCCTGCAGGGGGATGGTGTACTGTGAAAACCAGTCCCGCTCAAACGCAGCCTGTAACTGCTCCACGACGGTGAAGTTCCTGTCGTCGATATCTTCTAGCTTACTGATCACAAGGCCTGCTCCTGCATTAAAGGTAAATTCATCCCCCTCCCAGTCAAGATTACCTGTCAGGAAATAGACCACAGTGAGAAACACAAATGACATCGCAGTT